TGACTCGGTTTACTGAGTAAGTTTGTAGCAAAAATTGTTACCTCCTTTTCTATCCTAGTTCCACGAATGTGCGTGCTTTATAACAATTTTTATTGCAAGTTTTACTTTTATCTCCCTTCGACAAAGCCTGGTCTCAGGTATTTGAATAGCTGTAGTTATACAGCCTCCGCCGTGACCTTGCGAGTCGTAGGAGGCGACGAAAAGAGAAGTCTCTAATCTGAGAGCGTAAAATATAGTCACGAGTCCCAAGGGACTCAAACCCGAGAATGACTGCGCTGGCGAGGGCCAGGAGTAATTGTAAACGACAGAACCGTCCTCTCGTCAGAGAGATCAAGTGTCTGACAGTAATAAAGATCTGATCGTAAGCCCCAGATAATTGTTTTAAGGATTGCATCCTGTTTTGTATGTACAACACATATAGTTCTTACCGTCAAGAAAACAATAATTTATTATTGATTTATTTATTTATATAGCACGCACTATATGTTTCGATCTCAAATGGGTCATCTTCAGGTGATGCAAGTTTCTCACATACCATTACCCAACTGCAACGCTAAAGTTCCCATTGTTATGAATGATTTGTACAAGTTAGTTTGTATTCAATTAACAAACCAGACAAATTTGAGAATTTGCTTAAAATTAGCAATAAAATACAATAAAATAAGAATATAAATCATAATAAAAACCGCATATGTGATAAAGCCGTATGCATAACAATACCCGAAAACTAATTTAATAATTAGGTGATCCCAAATCCACAATTTGATATTTAAAAATTATTTTAAAATGATCTTTCAAAACATTATAAGCTGCGAGTAGCTTCGTGTTTGTTACTGCAGTAGACCATGCAGAGGCTTCGTCAAATTTCTCCTGCTGTTTGCTGCATTGGCTCGCCGTGTTAGTATCTTAATGTTACCGTTTTCCTAGGGAACAGATCCCTCTTCCTTCATGTTGTCGGGAGCCAATGGTTAATGTGTGCCGTTTATATTATGCGCTTCATTGCTACTTTATTGTCCAGGGAGCACGCGGTAGCGTAGTTGGCTGAGGCACTATGCTACAAGCCGGAAGGTGGCGGGATCGAATCGCGATGAGGTGGATTTTTTTCAATTTACCTAATCCTTCCAGCCGCACTATGTCCCTAGGGTCGACTCAGCCTCTAACAGAAATGAGTACCAGGAATCTTGCTGGCGGGTAGAGGGCGGATGGCGCGTAAGACTGACAATCTCACCGCCATCTATGAGCAGATTGTCTACAGAATGTGGTAACTTCGACATCTCACAACCCTATGGGCCTCCAAGGTCTGCTACAGGGATAGCTTTACTTTTACTTACTTTTAGCTTAGTCCAGCCCGTGGCCAGTCGCAGCAGATGAAAGAGTATGCAGTAACTTTCATAACATACCCGGGTGTTTTCTCTGATGTCCGCTGCATGAACCAAGATATATTTATATGTACAAGACCACAATCCTGAAAGAGGCACGACTCCAAATGTCGTTAGAGGGTAAAATATATAATCGTGAGTCCCGCAGGACTCGAAAACAACAATCACTGTGCTGGCGAGGGCCAGCAGCAATTTATCCGAAGTGAAGGAGACAGTGAGTCAGTGTCCGCTCAAGTTACTCCCCAATAGAGGGGGGAGTGACCAATTGTTGTCAGACCCCACCTCTCGTTGAAGAGCAGGCCCCATTTCAAAACAGGTAAAAGTCTTGGAAATAATAAAAACATGGTCATGGATCCTAACGGGACCCGAAAACAAGTCAGACCGTGCTGGCGAGGACCAGCAGAAATGTAACCGACAAGACCAAACCGACCAACTCGTACCAAAGAGAAATATGGGTATGAATCCCGCAGGTCTCAGAACCAACAATTACTGTGCTGGCGAGGACCAACAGCAATTTACCTGACCGACCGCAAATAAAGAATTTTCACTAAAACAAACGCACTCCGGCCAAATCTGCGTCACAAGCGTCTGTCAGTGAATGCGACGCTTTTGTCAAACAGCCACTCTTGGATTCATTTCATTTCATGATGTTTTCTCGCATGAATGTGTCTGCATAACCAGCAATGTGGACTGCAATGAGTACAGACACGTGCACTGCGTATTTATCGCCCTTCATTTTGATCTGCAATGCTTCTACTACGAGAAGGAGTCAGTAAATAAGTCACAAATGGAAGTAACACAGCTGTAATGGACCTAATAGGTTTTCTATGTGTATCAATAGGTAGTAGCACAATCCAACTTCATGAAGTCTAGGTGGCAGACGCGAGTGCGCATGTTCAGAGGCTGGTTTCAGTAGTCAAAATGACGACCGTGCTTGAGGAATGTAGTACCGAAGAGCAGAGTTCTACGGTGTAGTTTTTGCGGGCAAAAGGACTCAATACAAAAAAAAATATATCCATACAGAAATATTTCCTATTTACGGTGGGAAGTGTTTGTCGCGTAAAGCGGGTCACAATTGGGAGCACGGGGTAGCGTAGTTGGTTGAGGCACCATGCTACAAGCCGGAAGATCTTGGGTTGGATTCCCGATGAGGTAATTGGTCTTTTAAGTTGACCTATGACTTCTAGTAGCACATCGACTCAGCCTCTAATAGAAATGAGTAGCAGGATTCTTCCTGGGCGTAAAGGGCGGCCGGCGCGTAAGACTGGTAACTTCACCATCTGTGAGCCGATTGTCTAGTAAATGTGGGAGTCTCGATTTCTCACAACCCTATGGGCCTCCGCGGCCTGTTACGGAGATAGCTTTACGTTTTATCTGCATAAAGTGTACACGACCGTGTACCTTCCACTACAAACCGGCTGTAAGAATGGAATAGTTGAATTTTTCTTTTAAATTGTTAAAAATTGTTTTAAACGTTTACTGATGGTAACGCTGGTTGCAACTGTGTCTCTCGTGTCAGTGACTTCCGACTGCGCATTAGAAGTGTTCAATGTTGAAGTGTCTCATGACATATCTGATGCAGAAACACTGTAACGTTTATTCGACATCTGTTACGTTGTCGTTAGACCAGAACATACAGTTCTTTGTTAACATAGCGCCAATGGAACGCTTCCAGTGTCAAACTCCTTAATGCCTGTCACCTCAGAAACGTTACACTAACTACACCAACGGGAACGAGATGGAAACATCGACTGTGTCCTCCATAAAGATCACAGTACGAGCTAATCATCAACCATCTACGGTGACAAGTTACGCTAGAGGACTCGCAAAAGGGAGAGCGTGTGCAGCGGGGGTTGTCTAGTTTCTCGCTGCGAACAATGTGACACGGTACTCAGGTCAAGCGGGACGGACACTTGATAAAAGGAAGAGCCGCGGGCCGTCACATGTCACACTGCATTGTGGTCGCGAAGCGCTCCTAACAAGGTAAGGCATGCAAAGTGGATCAGTAAGTTAAGACACGAACGACAGTTCAATACAACACTTTGATATATTCCAGTATACGGAGGCCAGTGTCCAACACTTTTTGAATTGCAAGGTTCTTTTTTCTTAGGGCCGCGATAGTTCGGCCGGTATAGCGACTCAGCTATCTGCTGGACGGCCGAGTGGTTGGAGTTCGAATCCCGGTAGGGGAGAGATTTTTCTCTTCTTCACGTCGTCCAGACTGGTTCTGGGGCTAACACAGCCTCCTATCCAATGGATACTCGGAGGCTCTTTCCGCGGGAGCGCCCGGGGCGTGAAGCTGTCCACTCACCTCCAACTAGTGCCGTGGACAAGAATATGTAGATCTAAACACCCACTCCCCCATACATTTTCATGGCGTAGTGTTTAATTAGTTAAGCACAGGGACAATTCTTTTTTAACATTAAAATTTCTTTTAGACATTGCATGAAAAAAAAAGGTAAAGCTCTCCCTGTAACAGAGTCGTGGAGACACATAGGGTTGTGAGACGTCGAAGCTCCAACATCTTCTTGACAATCGACTCAAAGAAGGTGAGACTGTCAACCTCACGCGTCGGCCGCACCTTACCCCCAGGGAGATTCCTGGTACTGGTTTCTGTTAAAGACTGAGTGGACCCCAGAACCACAGGTCAATTTAAAATTCCAATTACTTATCGGGAGTCGAACCCACGACCTTCCGGTTTGTAGCATAGTGCCTCAACAAACTATGCTACCTCGTGACCCCACTTCAGAATGAATTAAAACTTGAGCACGTTTTAGAACAGAAAGAAGTTGTGAACAACGCACAGAACAAAAATTCTATATCACCATATACACCGACTCAGATGTGAACACTGAATTTGCCCCACTGCCCTGTGCCCACCACAATCCCCTACTGACTACCCTAGGACTTGCTGCCATTTGTAGCATATTAACTGCCTCATCCTGTATCACACACGCAGTCTGAGCTAGTTCTCTTTTCCCCCGACCAGATGGCGGCAGTGCGCGGATGCGCAACAGTCCTGCTGCTGTGTGTACTCGTAATTAGGGTCACTGTGACAGCGGACGAAATGGCCGCGAGAGCGGGCGGGCACAGCAGAGCTCCAAACGGAAGACGGAGACATGTGAGTACACAAGGTGATCTCATTAAGACTGATTCCAAAGGGTCTCTACCCCTTCAGATTCCTGTATCATTTCTCATCTTTCCCATGATCCTTACATGCCCCCTCATTTGTTCCTCATTTATTGTTATTGTTATTATATTTAAATATTTCCATGAAGGGCAAAGCCCGCCTCTCACACTGTTTGTTCCAAACGGCGAGTAATGCAAAAAAAATGTAAGAACAAAAGATATTCCTCTTATGGAGAAAATCCTAAGGAAAATGTTACTTCTACTGGTATTTGCATGGATCCGAGTTCCCCATTACTTCCTCCACACACACAAAGAACTTACTTGAATCGAGATAACAATGGAATCGTGACAGGTCATAACAATAGAACATGACAATAGTAGGAACGTGACAATTAAATCATAACAACAGTGGGATTGCGGCAACAATGATATCATTACTACGACGGGGGAAACCCCAGACTAACTTCTGCTGTTGCCACATAAGCGAGAGAAATGACGATGAGGCACATGTACAAATTGCAGGCTGTAACAGACCCAAACGGAGAAGTTTCTTTCCTCCAGACAGTCCGACGCCGACGGCCCGGTGCGCCTGCGCAGCACAAGTCGCTCCTGAGCGATACGCTGCGCCCCACGACGGTGGAGCGGGATGGCAGATGTGAGTATAGGGGGGAAAGGTGACGTCCAACATGATCGTGGTCAACACAAGCTAGCACCAGGCACCTGACTAAGTCTGGGTTGGTTGAGGCACTATGCTACAAGCCGGAAGGCCGCGGGTTCGAATCCCGATGAGGTTTGGACTTTTATATTGACCTAATCCTTCCAGCCGCTCAATGGCCTTGGGGTTGACTCATTCTCTAACAGAAACGAGTACCAGGAATATTCTTGGGGGTAAAGGGCGGCCGGCACGTGATACTGACCTCACCGCCATCTCTGAGCCGATTCTCTAAAAAATGTGGGAGCCTCGATGTCTCACAACCCTTTTGGCCTCCACGGCGTGTTACAGGGAAAGCTTTATCTTTTGACTTTTCTTCTTTACGGGGGGGGGGTGTCATGGCTAAAGCCACTCATCATATCAGTTTAACGTGAAGTTCAGAGAATAACTCCCAGTAACTATTTCCTTTCAAATGTTCCCTTCTGCATCCAGAGCCCAGAACAATTCAGCATGCACCACCACACGTCACGATGTGCACTGCGTCTGTTTCAGTCCTCTCGCTCTTCACAATCGTGCAGTTCCAGAACCAGGGCTGCGCTGCCTCGTCTGGTGACAACGGAACCTGCCTCACCTCAGCAGAGTGTTCTGACCGCGGTGGTGTGGCCAGCGGGCCATGCGCTAATGGCTACGGGGTCTGCTGCGTCTGTAAGTTACCCACTTCTTCCATCTCTCTCCCTCTTCAGCACAAATAAGCATCCTTCGGTCTCATTTCACGTTAAATAGCAACTGCTATCACTACAGTAATGGTAAACTAACTAGACCAAAGAAACTGGGACATAATGTCCAGCCATTGACCTTTATACAACGAATTATCCATCTGCAAATAAACTGCAATTATCACAACTGTGAGAAGGGAATGAATTAGTTGCTTGCGTGACAGTTCAGAAGAGTATATCAGGTCTGGTTGTGTGCTGTGCAGTTTTAGCAACATGTGGCCACAGCACCAAGGAAAACTGTACCTACTTTGTGAACCAAGGTTACCCAGGGCCCTACGATGGTACTGGATCTTGCCAGCTGACTATTAACAAGGCACATCCTGACATCTGCCAGTTCAGGTACGTAGAAATCTGATGAGTCTTTACAAAATGTCTTGAAACTACAAAAGTCAATTAATTCTGATGAAATACTAAAACAAAATAAATGTTAAATTTTGAAGAAAATCAGAATATCTATATTATTATTATTATTATTATTATTATTATTGTCTAAGAAATTCTTTGTACTGAGCAGCAGCATTTAACCCATGGCAGAATACACAAATATGTGAAGTTACAGTGCTGATTTGCATGATTAATAGAGACAGTGAGCATATCCAAATTCACTCCTTTAGCAGGGGTTTGAACATGCAGACCCACAGTTTACTTAGCATAAGAAAATTCTTGCAACGGAACTAAACACTTATAAAAACCATTCCAAAATTACAAATTTCTATTTTAATTTAAAAACCCACTGTCACTGACACTGCAATATTTTATGTAACCTAATATATCTTACCTAACCCGAAGTCCCCTTACCTTTAATAAAACTAGGTCAAATAACCCAGTACATAAAGTAACACCGTACATAATTAAGCAACATACCAAAGGCACATGAACAGGGGTACCTAAAATGAAGTCGAGAAAAATGACACCTTTACCAGCAAACATGCGTGAGCGCGTGTGCCCACCCACACACCCACACACCCACACACACACACACACACACACTTCAGAATATTAAAGAAAGGCTATCCCTGTAACAAGCCATGAAGGCCCATAGGGTTGTGAGACATCAAGCAGGAAGAATTTTCTAGACATTTAGCTCACAGATAGCAATGAGGCTGTCAGCCTTACACACCAGCCACCCTTTATCCCCGCAGGAAGATTCCTGGTACTCATTTCTGTTAGAGGCTGAGTCGACTCAGGACCATAGTGCAGTTGGAAGGATTAGGTCAATAGAAAACTCCAATGGCCTCATCGGGAGTCGAAACTGCGACCTTCTGGCTTGTAGCATAGTGCCTCAACCAGCTATGGTATTGCGTACCCCCACTTCAGAATGAATTAAAGCTTTACTGAGCACATTTCAGAACAGAATTAAGCTATGAACGAAGTACAGAACAAAACGCCTATATCAGCATATAAACTGACTCTGACACAAAGGTTGTTTCTAATGATGACCATATTATTCATTATGAGGGCAAGAATGGCAATATACTAGCAGAAATTCACACATCTAAGACATGGCAAGACTGACAAATGAAACGCATACATATCACATTGTCAATTACCTCAAGCCAATCTAATCTATCCATCATTATCGAACTTCAAGTCATCCCATCTAATCCTTTCTAAGAACTATCTCCTCATACCAAACCAAATTAAAACCTAACCTTCTTCATGCAGCTTGTCACTGGAAATTGTTTCACTGAAAACAGCACAGCAGCCACGAGCAAACCCTGGACGATATAAAGAACCTCCACATCAAGATAGCCTGGTGGCACAATATCTGCCCCATATAAGAGGGACGATGGGAGGACGCACACGAGCCTGCATGGTTTACGAATTTTAATTATTGACAATCTAAAAAACTTTTAATTAGCATCAAGGAATTTTATACAATTTTTTAAAAACTTTACATTCCCAGGAAACTGCTGTGTTTGTGAAATGTTCTATTCTGTGTACTATGTATTGTAGCATATAAGTGTACGTACTTTACGTGTAAACAAATTATGTGATGGTGGTTTCCTATTTGTAGTGATGTTTGCCCTCTGAAGATGGTCCACAGAGACCGAAACATGTAAGGGTGTTGAGTTTTTATGTAGTAAAAAACTTACAAGTCACATTGGACGGAGTGATTTATAATTGTAATTGTTATTGTGACGGACCAGAATGAAACAAATCAAACTGAATTATTTATATAACACATCTACACTCTAGAATATTAAGAATAATGTGTATTGATTTTAGGCTGGATTTTGATCAATTCAATATAGCAGGTCCGGAATCAGTCAACCACATGTGTAACAATGATCAGTTCATTGTAGCAGGTGGCAACCCTGCTCCACCTATATGTGGAATTAATAATGGAAACCACAGTGAGTATACAGCATAAATGCTTACATTATGAATATTAAGCCACAGGTGGCTGCATTGTCTCTCACAGCAACATAAACTGGAGCATAAATAGTGTAAGCAAGCAATATAACATTTTCTCTACCTTCCTGTTAATCAGTTCTGCTAATTCTGTTATATTCATTCAGAGGTTTGTGTTCATCTCTGTGATGGCTGTGGTCTAAGAGTTATAGTCCATAGGAGCACGTCGAACTATAGTACTTACTTACTCATGGAGCTGAGCCCTTCTGGAGGAGGTGCCAATTCAGCAGTTACTCAAGAATTTCCCAGCATTTTTTATGGAACCCGAAGGTTCATTACTGTGTTCACAAAAGCCTTCCACCGGTCCCTATCCTGAGCCAGATCTATCCAATCCATACCATCCCATTCCATCCCATCTCTCTAAGATCCATTCTAATATTGTCCACCCACCAATGTCTTTGACTTCCTTCTGGTTTCTTTCCTTCTGGCTTTCCCACCAATATTCTATACGCATTCCTCGTCTCCCCCATTCGTGCTACATGCCCTGCCCACCTCATCCTCCTTGAATTGATCATTCTAATTATACTTGGAGAAGAGTACAAGTTATGAAGCTCTTCATTATGCAGTTTTCTCCAACCTCCTGTCACTTCACCTCTCTTCGGTCCAAATATTCTCCTCAACACCCTGAGTCTATGTTCCTCCCTTAATGTCAGAGACCAAGTTTCACACCACTCCCCCATATGTCTTCTTGGCACAGTGCTTCACGAGCTAAGTGCAGGGACAACTTTACCTTTACTGCTGTTTCAATATGTAACTGTTCTGTGATTTCAGTGTACATCGATGCAGGGATAGGGAACACGAACCCAGTGACACTCAACTTTGTGACAAGTGGACCGTCTTTTCCACGAAACTGGAAGGTGAAGATATGCCAGATCCCATGCAACACCATCTACAGGGGTAAGCAACAATTTCAAAACTTGTGTAAGATAAACAATGGCACTTCCTACTCAAATTATCACAGGAAAAAAAGCAAGCCTTTCTCTGTCTATCCTTGCCATAAGCTTCAGAACTTCATGAAAGAGATTTAAATGTTTATGTTGAAGATGGATCCCTTTTCTACCAACAGAATATAATTTTATAACCAAAATTACATTTTTTACTGAATCAAGCCAAGTAAGAGAACTGTTCTTCCAGCTGAAGAGGGGTGTCTCCAGTACTTCACCGGTGTATCTGGCCAGATTAAGTCATACAACTATGATCCAGGGGCAGGACTGCAACTGTCTAAACAGGATTACAGCGTCTGTATCCGCATGGAGAGGAACTTCTGTGGAATTCAGTATACAGCCTGCCCTGATTCAGGTAGGATAAGAATAACTAAGCAACCACGAGCCCAACCAACCCTCAAAACATTACCAACATACTAATAACAAGGGTGCCTAATGCTGAAACTGTCAATTCTGCCAATAGCACCAAATACATTTCCAAAAAATCCATTTTATATGCCACAAACTGGAAGGTCATGGGTTCAATTCCTGATGTGGTCACTGGATTATTTTTCAAATGACCTAATCCTTCTGGCCACAATAGAGCCCTGGGGTTGACTAAGCTTCTGACAGAAATGAGTACCAGGAATATTCCTGGGGTAAAGTGTGGCCGGAGTGTGATGCTGACCTCACCGACATCTGTAAGCCAAACTGTCTAGAAAACATGGGAGGCTCAACATCTCATAACCCTATGGACTGCCAGGGGCTGTTACACGGATAATATTTTACCTGTTTTCCAGCAACTGTCTTAACCTCCTCGTAATGCAATAATATTCAATAGTAGGGATACCTTTATTGACTGCTGGGTCACACCGTACCTAAAGTAGTTGGTTGCTACCTTCCCACTGAGGTTGTCCATGTTCAATCCCAAGTCAGGTCATGTGAGATTTGTCATGGACAAAGCAGTACTGGGGCCGGTTTTCTCTGAGTACATCAATCACTGCTACTTCGTATTCATTAATAATCCAATGCTATATATACTAACATCCAGTACATTTCAGTGAACAACAGGACGCATGCTTTCACTCTGTCTGGCAACACCCTAGGACAGACTGCAGTATCCTCCAGCACCGGTACATTGGGACCCAACTCTTGCAACGAAGACTGGCTGATTATCCCATGCACAACAAATACTGGCAGAACTGAACTGACAACATGTGTGGATCGCATCTGTGGGGGAACTTTCAATACAGAAATCTCTACGACACCAGCAACAGTAATCAGTAAGAACACATACATAATTCCAGCTTATATTCTGTTGAAACATTGTCTTGACAGAAATTTTACATTCAACTGTTCTCAAACAATGAAGCTGTTTATAATGACCACGTACAGCACCCTACTTCTTTATATAAAAAAAACACAACATTCTGGAAATTAGCTATGTTTCTGTCTTCAGGAATGAGAAGCTTCGTAACTTGCACTCTTCAACAAATATAATTACAAAGATCAAGTCAAGGAGGGTGAGATGGGCAGGGCATGTAGTACAAATGGTGTCGAAGAGGAATGCTCGTATGATATTGGTGGGTAAGCCAGAAAGACCAAGATATGGGTGGGTGGAAAATATTAAAATGGATCTTAGAGAGAGAGGATGGGATGATATGGATAGAACTGATCTGACTGAAGATAGAGACCAGTGAATGACTCTTGTGAACACAGTAATGAACCATCAGGTTCCATAAAATGCTAGGAGGTTCTTGAGTAGCTGCACAATTAGTGACTTTTCAAGAAGGGCTCAGCTTCACGAAGTTAGTTAGTTCTGTCTTTGGGTGGAGAAATCCAGTCAAATGTGTAGCTCTAGTTTATTTCTATAGGTTATTCTGCAGTTCTGTCAGTAGCCAGGATACAGAGCACTGAAGTATGTATGATAATAGATATAAACTGAACTAGAAAGGATTTGGAACTGACTTGGTCTAACCAAGAAAATACCCCAGAGGTTAAATGGAAGGAATGCAGAAACTGTGAAAGATCTCAGTCCAGATAGCTGGTGTCCCTGCCAAGATTTGAACCAAGTACATCCCAGATATAAGGACAGACCAGAACCTCTATTCTATTTCCACTCAGTGGTAACTGCTGTAAGTGAAAATTCAGCAGAGTAAGAAATTTCTTGCATCCTCTTCACTTAGAGATACAATTGAACCCATTTATGGTTATATACGAAGAACTGGAACAGTGGGCAAAGTCAGAACAATTTTCCTTGCTGTGTCATACCACTGCCTAATAATTTCAGACTTAGTTTATTGCTGTAAGATATTTGGTTTTCATAAGTCTGATTTAACAAAATGTCTATGTTCCATATTCTTACTTCTGTAGGTCTTCTTAATTATTACATACTTCTCAACCCTCTGACTGCAAAGTCTCACCACGCACCTCTCTTCTAGAAATTCCATAGCTGCTTGGGATTAAATGCAGGAAACCCCAACATACTTCCATAAGCACACTCCAAACTACAGGTAGTGATCATAGGAAAGCCTCAAGTTAAGTCAAAGTTATGTTACGACTGATGGTCAGTTGGCCAGTCTGTCTTCGTATCAAGCCCTCGTCTGGGGTCCAAGATAGATTTTTATTACCATCAGATGTTTGTGGGTTTGTTGATGTGGGGCGCCATCTCTGATAAGAGTGGTCAAGAATGGTTGAGCTGCACCTCCACTCACCCATAGGTCTTCATGCCATAGTGCTTAAGGAATTAAGAACAGGATCAACTTCACTTTTTGCCTTTAGCGTACCCATTTTAGTTTGACAGCCATATCCACTGAATCAGAGTTTGTAAACCACAGTCACTCACATGATTTTTTATATATCCTGTATCTTGAAATTATTTCTTACATCATTTTGCTGTGTGTTAACTGATATTACATTCTCTCGACAGGCACAGTGAAACCGTTCAGATTGACCGTCCACACAAACAATGTTGAAGCTCCGAGTGACGTTGGCAACCGAGGGTTCTGTCTCAACTACGTGCAGCAACCCTGCACGAATAACTTTGAAATATGACAGTATGAACTGCAAATTAACTATCTGTCATGTGAAGGTTACTGTGCTATAATAAACCATGCACTTGCATTATTTTGGCTGCAATTGAAATACCAGTTCAATTCCATTCAGAGAAAAGGCTATTCTGATCAACAGAGATTCATCTACCAGTGTACAAAACTTCAAAACCATCAAACTTCATATAGACAACATACATCCAATTATGATTGTTAAGGTTATTTTTGTAATCTATTTTTTTAAATAAACAAAATTAAGCAAATGACTTTGTTGTAAATGTGATTTGTCATTTTTATTATGTTACTTTACAACTGTTATTCTTACTTTTGCACTTTATCTTCGTTAACTCTCAATAATTTTTGCATTAGTTTTAATACAAAATTGAGAAGTCCCTAGCATTTTTTATTTATTTTGTCTTAAAATTCATGTCTATTGCCACAGATATTTGCACCAATGGTTTGCCAGCTATATACAGAACTGTATATTATGCATTAAAATATAATAGCAGTGTGTCCCATCAAATGACCTCTATAAACTAGTTTCCATAGATATTTCTTCATTGCAAGTATAATTCCTTCACCCACCCCAAATGGAAGAACATAAAATTAAATTGGATTGTATTGATAGCATGAGAGGCTCCATGCATTAAAAAACAGAACTGAAAAAAGAAGAAAATATATTAATATTAATGGAAAAAATTAAAAGCAGTTCTAAAAACATTTTTCCTCTATCCTAAAAAAAATCTAGGGCAATCAGCACAAATAATCTTAAATGGCTTACATGTAAATTTCTATGAAAATTTCCTGGATGCACTATCTCCTTCCAAATACACACACACACAGATAGAAATTCTTGCATGTGCCCATTGCTGATGCTATTCAAGACTGTATTACCTGAACCAAAAAAACTGAATTACAAAAGAGGAAGTTAAAATGTTCTAGACATCTAAAAGGATGTATCCCCATGAAGTCATAACACCTTGTTGTGGCATGAGTAACATCTAAACTTGCATGCACTATTTGCAACTCAATAATTCTGTTCCAGCATTTTCAGCGTTAATAAGAATTATGAATGAGTGATTTGTGCCCATCTTACATGCATTACTTACCGCGAACTGCCTCTGCTCGTAGTAAGAGTCCAGGAGAATGTTCCTCCGAAACGTCGATATTCACCTACAATACTATACGGTGCCACAACGAAGAATACCACAATATTAACAATCATGTTCGTGAAAATCTGAAAACTTATCACAATACGGAACGAACTTTCACTCTATCACTCATTACGAAAACACTGCACAAAACCGCGAACCCAACTCCCGCTCCCGCTATCAATGTTCGACTGAATATCGATTCTGTAGATCGCGGGAAGCGAGTTGTTGAATCGTATTCTATGATATAAATTTCGATTTCAATCGAAACTTTTTTGTCCTGCGAACACACCAAATAAGCTAAGTACGTCATCGCGCCGTATTCCAAATTCGCCGACAACATTGCGCCTGCAGCCGACGAAGGGCAGGGCAGGAGTGCGTTTATTTTCGGGGAGGGTGAGTGATTTCGAACATAAACAAGGTTTATAAACTCTCTGAAGAGTATTATCTTCTGAGATATAACAACATGTAGTCTGGTGAAAGCCAGCATCACCTCTATATTCAGTGTCCAAGAATAAGTCAAGGAAAAAAATAACAGCATAAAGCAGACAGCAGTCCTGAAGATGGAGGCGATATGTTCCTTCGAAACGTCTCATGACTTTCACCGTACTATCGTTATATCCCAGAAGATAGACTTAGCAACATGAGGTATGAATGAATGAATGAATGAATGTATGAGGGTTAGGCCACCTCGGCCGTTGCAACGCGACCTACAGTGGTATATTGTGCTTCCCCTTTTTTAATTATCCCTTCAGCAACCCCGCGCTTCGGATGAAGCGTAGGATTTTGAGCATGGGGGCGTCAAAATAGTCACTTGGTTCCATTGGATTTTTTCAATTGACCTAATCCTTCCAGCCACGCTATGGCCCTGGGGTCGACTCAGCCTCTTAACAGAAATGAGTACCAGGAATATTCTTGGGAGTAGAGGGCAGCCAGCATGTAAGGCTGACAACCTTGCTACCATATATGAGCCGACTGTCAAGAAAATGTTGGAGCCTCAACATCTCACAACCCTATGGGCCTCCATGGCCAGTTGCAGGGATACCTTTACCTGTTTTTCTTTCTTTTACTGTTTGAGGTGGAATTATAGCCCTTGTAAACAGGCACTTTCCCTGAGCCATGTAGAGTACAATTCTATATTCAGAAGTTCAGAATTTTCTCTTTTAGCATTACATCCCTGAATTGAACGTCTTACTAAATTACTGAGCAAGGGTAAGGTAAATGTATACCCCCAGGAAGATTTCTGGTACTCATTTTGGTTTTACAGGGATAGCTTTACATTTACCTGAAGGGATAACAGAGAAGTGTATTATTGGTCCTTAGTCTATCAGAGTCCAACTATTTAATGGCAGTGATGATTTTATCTGATCAGAAAAATTAGTTAATGCAACATTACAAAAGCTCACTTTACATGAATAGGGTTAAATCATGTATAAATGATTTGGACTACAAAAAGCCAAACATCATTTGAAACACAAAGTGGATTCTTTTATTTCAGAATCTTTTACAAAACACTGAAATTCTGCACATGTGTAACTGTTAACGACACAAAAATACTTTAAATGTATAAAAGGAATTCATAAATTAAATCAAATCATAGACAATGATCTGAAGTTATCTGACAGCTTGTGGTTCTGTGAAACACTGTAATGAGGACTGACACCAAAGATAAAAGTATCTATGGACCTAATTTCATAAGTTGTGGGTAGTGAAACAAACATAATTGAAAAACAACTGGACAAATTTCAGTATGCTGTTGTCATACATTTGTGACCATTCGATGCTAGTTCAGTCTACACCACAAAATTCTGTAAACTGTAGAACATCATAGAATGAACACTGGATGCTAGCCAGTAATAACAAGTATCTAGAACTGTTTCATTACTAGCTGCTCTTACAAACAGAGTCATAGAAAAATTTTACAGTGTACAAAGTACTTCCGTTACAGTCACCTTAGCGCACACATGTCTTAATTAAACAAGGAAGAAAATGCTGTAGTGGAATTCTATAATAAAAACATCTAATTTTATGGAAATGTATATGAATAACCATACTGGCAATAATGTGACTTATTTGTAGATATATATTAATGAAATATTATCAAATACTTCATTTTAAGCATTAGGGAACAGTGTTTAGGATGACATGTAAATGAGATGCAGTGGTTCTCAGATGTTCTGACCCATCTGGTAGGGACCACCGTTGCTAGCACTCCATTTTATCAGCATTATTATTAGTCTTCAGGATGTGACTTCATGCAGTATGATACATAGAAATGTCGCTTCAATAAGCTTGTAGTTATCTACACTTTAGCGCTGAAGAAGAATGGAGTAGGTTGCACCAAGATGTTACCAGTTATCATATTACATGGTACAACATCCCAAAAGACCATAAACATAATATGCTCCACAGTAAAAACCTCAAATGTCTATCAGAATTAGTAGAAGGGGATAGATCTCTTTGCATAGATAGCCATGAGCTGATTTTAAAGTCCCAAAGTGTCAGCCTAGTTAAGTCTTCTGGGATAACTTGCAGGCCATTTGAGAATCCCCTGTGTTCTACACTTTGAGAACCACTGCAGAAAACCACCAGCCATCACCCCTGCAAGCAACAGCAGCAGGACTGGTTTAAACTTTGTACTTTGTGGCAACTGACATGCACGTGTATAGCACTCCAAAACTTCACTCTGCACTTCACTATCATGTATAATAGCTTGCATAGAATGAGTGTCTTTAACTATTGTGATTAGATACAACATTACATTTGCCATTTTTCTGTCTGTGACTGATAGAAAATTGGCAGCAATATTTGTTACGAGAAAGTAAAACTGTAAAGTAAAGCTATCCCTGTAACAGGCCGTGAAGGCGCATAGGGTTGTGAGACGTTGAGGGTCCCACATTATCTAGACAATCGGCTCAAAGATGGCGGTAAGGTTGTCAGCCTTACGCACCGGCCACGCTTTACTCCCCAGGATAATTATTTAATTAATTCCTGGTACTCATTTCTGTTAGAGGCTGAGTCGACCCCAGGGCTATAGTGCTTCCGGAAGGATTAGATCAATTGAAAAAAAATCCCATGACCTTCTGGCTTGTAGCATAGCGCCTCAACCAACTACGCTACTGCATACCCCCCCTTACAAAAAAACTGAAGAATAAAAATTATTTTATTAACACAACAAAATATTGTTTAAAATTAAATATAGGGAGGTAATTTTGTTTTGGTCCACTGTAGCTATATACAGTATAATTAATTCTGGCATAAGAAATAAATCAAGTGAAATCATATTGCAGTAATAGGCATTATCAACTGATTATGATGCAGCAATCAGAAAATTAAAAATAAGTTTAAAAGAGTTTAAACTCACATGTAATAGAAACTCAATTTAGTGCACACAAGCAGAGTGATGGCTGGCACTGATTACACTTTGCCCCTTCCGTTGAAAACGGCCAAGTTCTTGCGTGTAAATTATTCTTTCAGTGTTGTCATGTTATGTGTCAAGGTTGTTCCAATGTTTCAAGGTACATTAAAGTCATCATCTGCAGGGTGAAAAAGACAGAAGAACAAATTGGAGTTTGGTGCTATCTAATAGGAAGAAACTATGTGCTTAAGAACCCTGAAGCAAAAACAGACCTGGAACTAAAGCTCTGCTGTCGCCAGACACCGCACACAGACCAGATATAATGTTTAACATGACAAAATAGGAGCTCTAACAAATGTCCACACTAACTGCATCCATATCAACAGGGAAGCCACTGAAATAGTCAACCACACCTGCAATTTCAACCATGAAGACATATACAAATAGAATAAAATCTTGTTTCACTTCAAATCTTTCAACATCATTCTAATTACGTGGCCTCTTCAAAATGGATAGCACCATGTTCCATATGCCCACTCTTCCTATCACTGCAAGATCTATGAATTGGGTCATATCCTCTTTCAACTTCAATTACCCTGAAGATGGAAACTGCAATGAACACCAAAACACTGAAACAGTTTCAACAGGTGACACAACTAAACCCCAACATCCAAAGTTACATATTAGTGGCCACGAAAACCTCAGGATGTCAAAAATTTCTTATTTATAACAGACAGAATTCTGAGATTAAAATGACCGGAGAGCTGATACTACGTATGTTCGTCTGCTTTTGAGCACAGGATTACATTTTACCATTTTTTCATACATATTAATTAATGTGCCTGAGGTATTTCGTTTAATTTGCATTTTCTTACATATCAAGGCTGGAACAATAGCTTTATGGCAGTTGTATAACACAGCCAAATATATATATATATTAATAAAACTGACAAATTGTAAAATAAAAATATGTCTGAATTTTGTCATGTAAATGACAGGTCATATTTGCAATTAAATAATAGATTATTAATGCTTCAGGATATATCCGCAACATATCTCAAATGATTATTCAAGATTTGGACCAAAATTAAATTACTCATCCAATTTGGTACAGATAAAAAGATTATTAAATTCAATAAGGAAATACTATACAATTCAAGCAACAGATCTGCTGCAGTATACAGTGAGCCCCAACATTACGGATGTTCTGGTTACAGAATTTTGGCCTCACATGAATTATAAAACATGACCATTAAATTGTCAGTATGGACAGTTGGGTAAACCTCGATATTTTTTAAACACAAAATGCTATCTAAGAAGATTTCAGTCCAAACAATTTTTTTTTTCAAGAAATCGTTTGTTAAGAAATTCAGATTGCATATGTCTAAGAAGTGGTGACTTAGCTAGCCACTGGGTAGTCTGTATGCATGCATAAGTGACATAAAGGTATCAGTAGCATTGTTCCTATTTCCACCCTATTTGAGATATCTGGAATGAAGCCATAAAGTTCAGTGCAAGCAGTATATATAAAGGAACATGAAAGCGTCCCTGTTGTGACTTATGACAGATAAAAAAGTGTGTTCTTATTATAACTGTAGACTGAAAATATTTCGTTAGGAACATATCTCCACTTCTAACATAAGAGTCATCATAAAAATAGGGCTCATCTTATGAAATTTCATGATACACATTTTTAAGAACATATTTCTTCCATAGTATGGGGACAAGCCACACACGTAATAAGGAAATGTATTCTTATTCTAGCACCCTATAAAAATTTATGGAACCGGACACTGTATTCAGTATCACATTTTTACTTTTTAATAAATATTAACTGATTACACTGTTTTCCAGCTTCAAGTTCAGTACCCCATTGAAAGAAAATAATTAATTATTGCTTGCTCCTTGATCTTTATATTTGTAGGACAGGAGCACCCTGTTGCAGACATCAGTCTCCTGCTTACTATATACACAGCCTTGGACAACAGTTGACTAAGGCAATATATCACACAAAAAAACCCTTGCCTTTTTGAAAAGTCAGTCCACAGAACTGACAGTATTCAACATGTTTGAGCATTCCCCTTAGATTCACTACTCTGATTTGCGCCTGCTGGTACAGGTCCCTGTTATGAACATGTAAGTAGGCAGCACATTAGGATGGAGGCTTGCCAACTGAAGCCATCTTGGTTGGGAGCACAGACTTGGCCAACTGTTTAATTTAAACTGATATATGAGCTAATAGGAAATTTTAAAGAAAGTTTATTTTGAACACTAAGATTGAGGTTTATTTTTGTGAAATGAACATTTAGAGATATACTTTCACACCAGTAAATTGGTTTCAGTAGATATTCCCAAGAAAACTGTATTTGTTCTTGTACACCATATGTTACCTCTTCCAGGAATGTTTTAAGACAAATTTTTCCTTTCTATCAGTACTGATAGAAGAGAATTGTGTATCTACTATTTGGACACAGCTTCTTGAGCCTTCACGAAGTAGGTGAGAAGGTCAATAGGTAGAGGAAATACAATTGTGGAATTCTTCTCTGCCGAGATGGTGTTCAGAGTCTGCAAAACATAACAAAAGGGGTCAAAAATCACTTCAAAATCCCTGGTATACTTTTTTGCTTGACTTTACATGCGAGACAGCAGGTTATTGATGCATAGTGGACAGAGACCCATGCAATATTCAAATATCTCTGAACCCAAAGATGCACATACCTGAAGATAGCGCAGTTGCAATGCAGCTGGAGAATCACCAATAACTTCAGAGGCTTCACGTAAGGCTCGTGAGGCCTTCTGTTCACCTTCAGCAGCAATCACCTTTATCACCAAACAATAAACGACATATCTGAGCCTATATTTCACTCACAGACACTCTTTGCATGTAGCACAGTACGAAATGCCTTAGGCATAAGTTCCAACTTTGGTTATCATGTTTTATTTCATGATGCTTTATAAATTTTAAAATTTACTTTGCTCCAAACTGGACAGCATGGATATCTGATTCATTTAATGTCATTTTCATATAAATTTTAAGAAATACAAAGCAGATTAAAATATTTTTCTGACAGAAGATATATTCACTCAACGAAATTGTGTTCCATGTTTATTTTTTGCATACAAATTATTGCTTTTGAGAGATTAACTTCAGAAAATAAGGTAAACCTACCCATGATACATGGCCCGCGTGTTCTGTTAACACTGTCACAATCTGAACACTCAACCGTGGGGCCATGTAACTGAAGACGAAGGAGAGGGAAAGAACATGATGATGGAGGAAGACATGGGTAAGAAGAACAACATGAAGTGACAGGGAGAGAAGACAGAACAGGATAAAGCAGCAGTGGCTGTGGCAATAGCAGTAGCAGCAGCAATTAAAAGTGAGATCATGCAGGAGGATACCAAAAGAGAAGATGAACAAGAAGAGAAGAACTGAAAGAGGATAGAGAGAACAAAAAAAAAATGATATGTAAAGGAAAATGAGATTATGAAGTAGGAGGAAGAGATGGAGAACGTATGAAAACGATTTGGGTCTGAAAAGGATAATGTTTCATCGCAGTAAACTTGTTACCTTCGCACGAGCTTCCCGTGCAGCCTCGGCTTCAGCTGCCATAGCCCTCTGAAGCTGTACAGGCAAACGGACATCCTTGCTGTGGAATCAATTCAAAGCAGTGTCGGTCTCATTATGCACTCACTTCTTTCCTTGTTGGAACTCGACATTCTTTACAAAAAGATCTTACATGACAGCCATATCACTCCATTTGTTGGTGACTTATATCAGTCCCTAAACCAATGGAAGGTAAAGGCAAATCTATCCCTGTAACAAGCTGTGGAGGCCCATAGTGTTGTGAGATGTCGAGGCTTCCACATTTTCAAGACAATGAGCTCACAGATGGCGATAAGGTTGTCAGCCTTATGCGCCGGCCACCCTTTACCCCCCAGGAAGATTCCTGGTACTCGTTTCTGTTAGAGGCTGAGTCGACCACAGGGCCATAGTATGGATGGAAAGATTAGGTAAATTGAAGAAATCCACCTCCTTGGAACTCGAACACGCGACTTTCCAGCTTGTTGCATGGTGCCTCAACCAATTATGCTACTACATGACCCAAAACCAGTGGAAGGATTTTATTAAAATTATGTTGCAAACATACAAAATTTTATACGATGGGGCATTAGAATGGCAAGACTCACATCTCAACACGCTCCACCTTTATGCCCCAGGCATCTGTCGCCTCGTCCAGTGTGAGCTGCATGCTGCTGGATATGGTGTCCCTGTCACTGAGAATCTCATGCAGAGGTCGCATGCCCAGCGTGTTCCTCAGGGTGGTCTGCGCCAGCAGGCGAGTGGAGTGATGTGCATTTTCCACATTGGCCACAGAGACTGTGGCATTGGAAACACGGTAGTACACCACAGCATCCACAGACACTGTGACGCTGTCTTTCGTGAGAACCTACACACGTAAACATCATCAGCCCAAAGCTCTACAGTCTGCAGCAATAAGTCCTACTGGACCAAGCTGCATAACTATGAAGAGAAATAACCAAAGCATTCCGTAAACATGCTGCACCAAAATTCATGCATTTATACTACTGCAGATATGTCTCAAACAAAATTCTGTAGCCAGTAACCTGCTAGTTAACCTTTACACTAAAACAAGCAGTTCTGTATCTCAGCATCCTGTTGTAATTGTTTAACTTTACATCCACGTATTTATCGTCCATCAATATTGCAACAGGATGCAAGCAGGATGCACACAAAGCTGGGAAAAGTAAATACTGGCGCTGTGGGTTTGAATCACGCTTAAGGCAAGAAGATTTATGTTTATTTGTCATCATCCATCATACATATTATTCAGTATCACAGTCCTCCTAACCTGGAGCACTGCAGGGCTCAAAATTCCTTGCAAATCCAAGAATTCCATTTACTGGAATGGGGGCAATTTGAAAAAAAAAAACAGGCTCAAAATATGAAGTGTAATTCTTAAACATATATATAAAATGTAGTTTAAACTTTATAATAATTATACAAAAACGTTGATAGTCTCTATTTAGTTTACTGAAATAAATGTAATAATAAATGAAATTTTATTTATTTTGCAGGATATCATTGGTAAAGAGTTCACCAGATTATATGGCGATAGTATCACAGGAGAAATTAGAAATAGTTTGAAGGAAAATTCCAGAAACATAGACCTGCTGATAAATTAATTTCTGGTTTGCAAAATTATAAAACAGAGACTTTATGAATCATATTATCATGATTTATGTGTGACTATGGACAGGGTTTGGATTGGAGAATAGATTTAATGACCACTTATACACTCATGACTTGTGACTACACTTTACAAATCACTGACATACACAGCCTATTGTCCTCAGTTTATTACAGTCTCCACTAGCCGTTTCCTGGAAATGGATTTTAACGTAGGAACAATAATAATCTCACTGAATTACCTACTCCACATATCACATATAAAGTCTTCTTTTCACAGCCACACTTGTACAACTATTTTCTTCACAGCCTCCTGTAGAGAACTGAAAACTCGAACGATAACTGCCAGGCTGGCAGCCATTTCACATCAACCTCCTAGTCTTCTCTGCACAGGCTGACTTTCAGCTGACTGGGTCACCCACATTTTCTTCCTTATAACCCCTTTGTACGAACCCAGTAGTAAACACTGTTTCCACCAGTAACTCTGTTGTAGAGGCATGTTTACCACGCCACTGCATAACAATGGCTGATGTCTCATTGTTTGTTTTGAGGTCTTTACCTAGCAAGCGGTCCATAAGGCTCATAGCCAACCACTCTGTAGTGTTATGTCTTTAAGACCCGGTCCTATGAATCTCAAGATGTTCTCTCTTCATTACTGTTCTTGTTGTCCTAAGTCCTTCAATCCCTTCAGTCAGTAGTGGAATGCTAACTGTGGAAGACAGGCTCCTTCAGTTCTTTACAAATAAACTAACTAGCTATCTAACTATCTATCTATCTACCTAGCCACCTAACTAACTAACTAGCTATCTAGCTACCTAACTAACTAACTAGCTATCTAGCTACCTAACTAACCAACCAACCAACTAACTGACTGACTGACTACCTGACTAACTACATAACTAACTCACTAACTTCCTGGAGCTGAGCCCTCCTTGAGAAGCTGCCAGTTGTGAAGCTACTTAAGAACTTCCCAACATTTTATGAAACCCAAAAGTTCATGACTGTGTTCACAAGAGCCCTCCACTTCTCTCTGTCCTACTACAATTAATGTCTCAAATTTTATTGGTGCCCTTGCATCTCTTTAACTATATCTATAAATTCCAGTTTTTCTCTGATGTCCAAATTTCTGTTGTAATCAAATCTAGCGAAGTCCATGTAGAAGTCTAAAAAAATACCTCTGAATTGCAATCTGATTTCTTGGATACCTTTTGGATTAAAATCATATTTCATTATCATAATTCAGTGTCGTTCTTTGTGTGTGTAGTGCATGGATCAAAGCATTTGATTCTGCAACAGATAACATTCAGAAGGCTCCGTTTACTATGTATCCTTCAAGTAACTATCTGTTGCACGCTGTTGCTCAGTAGTGGCATACTCAGTGTTCACTCATAACAAACTCATGTTTAGGCTTCTTACAGCATATATGAAAATATGGTGCTCTGGTTGGAACAATGAGTGATGTCACCAGTCAAGGGTGGTTAATAACTAGTGGGGGGGGGATATTCTCTGTGCAATACACGTGTAGGGTATGACAATATAGGAATATAAATTTCAAGTCTGACCTCTAAGTTTAATTATGAAACTTTACATATTATTAGGTTTATCTTTTTTTCAGTCAGACTTGGTACTAAAATTCGCATGGCAATGACTATGAAGTTTATTATCTTCTGGGGTTTAGCATCAAGAAACTTGAAGATTGAGGCAGCAGGTTCTTCTAAAACACTGGCAACTATCTTACCAGACTACACGGTGTCATATCCCAGAAGATACTAATCTTTAATCTTGCTGTTTTTATTTCTGCACACTCTGAATAAACTAAATTCCCTGAATAATTTTCCATGTCCAAGAAGGCAAGATCACATAATCTTAACTTCCACACTAGTTGTATTAAAGTTGAGGCCATGGTATGGAGACTCACAGATGGACCCCCAACCCCCCTTTCCACATCTCGATCGAGCAGTTACGCTTCCTTCTCCCATACGTTTACCTACATTCCTGTCCAGTCATCTAGCCTCTCCACTCATACAAATGTTGATGTAATAACCATGTGATAACTTTTGGCAGTGTCACATGATGTGGACTGGCTGATATAGACCAGAGGGGGGCTAGAGAGGAACAGAACAGTAGGAAGATAATGGGAATTAAGCTAACTATTCTTCCTATCTATGGGACTTCTTCCATAACCTCAAATTTATGAACTGGTTTTATTGTTCACATCGTTACAGCCACGAATCTAGTTCAGAAATGCAGTTGTAAGAAACACTAAATACAAATAAGATCTGAAAGTCTTTGATGATGGTATAGTAAGACAATTATTGTACTTCTGGACATTATCCTTTGTCCTGGTCTTTATTTAAAATGGTGTTTTGAGGTCTGGATTTTGTCTCCATCTTGAGGTAAAAACCTACTCAGCTGGAACCAATTAACAGAGCTCTAGGTACTGGTGTCCAGAGACAGGGACTAGCTCTATCAATTGGGCCCATCTAAGTAGGTTTCTACATGAAGACAGAGACAGAATCCAGTCTCCAAAATGTTATTTTTAAAAAAAGCAGGACAATGGGACAATGTTAAAAAACAACAATTTACAATACAGAAGTGAGCATTTCGAAAGAAAAATGTGCTGCAGGAAGGAAAACACTTTTAGCTTTCCACACAAAGCTAGCATGTCATGTGTTGAAGCAATTTATCTTTCAATATTTACTATCACTGCATATGAAACCGAACAAAACATGTGATGGTGAGACACTACTGTGGGTCATGTGACAACACCAACTGTAACACCAAAGTGTCAATGTGCATGTTCCCATGCAGGATGAGGGGCACACACGGGGTGGTTCACAAACATGCCGTGCACACAACTGAAACTATGATTCTTAATAAATGGTAACTTTTCATGGACTCAGATAAACCAAAAACTGCTGTCTCTTCTAATGTAATTTTCTCTCAAGCAACCTTTAGCTTGTACAAATACTGTGTGAACAAATTAGCAGACAGCATTGAGTACATAAATGTTCTGTAAATGTAATGTTCAAACTCAAAGCTGACAGCACAATATATGTTCATACATCGTGGACTTCTAAGCAGTTACAAATGCTCTACTTTGTTTCCACTCAACAAATGCCTCACATAGTCTGAGAAAGGGGGCTGCGCCATAGCTCAAGCGGTTAGTTGCTGCCTTCCCACTGTGGTGGCCTGGGTTCGATCCTGGGTCTGATCAAGTGGGACTAGGGCGGGTTTTCTCCAAGTACTTCGGTTTCCCCTACCAATCTTCATTCCACGAAATTCTCCATCATCATAATGACCCGAGGCAGGCTACAATAGACCAATCACTGGCCACCATGCTGAGTGGACCAGTTGGACTCCACCCCCCACTAAGCGAATTTAAATAAGAAAAAATTTTTAGTCTGAGAAACAGAATATACCAGGCCGCTTCACAACATATTCCTCGTACTAACCATCTGAATCAGATACTAAGATCTGAAGTCCCCCAACCATTAAGCGGTAAACGGGGGAATCTGGTAAAATAGGCTCGGACTTCTAGCTAAAAGAAACTACTTACATTAGACTAATTAATGAAACCAAATTTGGACATTACATTACCCACAGCCAATTTAAGATGATACAACAGCATTAAAATGTGTTGTTAAGTTGCATACATTAGTGCCAACATGTTCTGTATCAGGTATGATTAAAATACTGATGCTGTAACCTTAAAAAAAAGTGGGAAAAACTTAGTTAAAGAATACATATTTTGTTTAACTAGATTAAAATTTATGTTAAGAACAACAAGGTTCTTGAAACAATACCCAAAATTTGCAGCTGCTGCTCATAAAAGTATTGTCACCATTCATTTAAGAATCAAAGCTGCATGAGAGAGGAACAGCCGCAGTAGGCGAGCCAGGAGAACAGACTTGGGGGAGCTCATTTTGTCACAGAAACACAATTCTGAGCTCGTACAAACCATATATTCCAAAATGAAAGCATGGTTTTTGAAAGTTGACAATACACTGTATTTATATACACCATAACAGCTGAAGTTAAGGTTCCTTAACCCGCTAGCAACGCAAACCCCTGGCTCCCCTACTGTAATGTTGTGGGCACAGCTTACCTCCTGGGGAGGGACATCGTAGGTTCGGGTGCGAAGGTCTACCCTAGCATAGGCATCGATGCAAGGCAAGATAAAGAATATTCCTGTTGAAGAACAGGGGTTTAAATTAACGGTTCAGAGACACATATGGGAGGGGCAGGGTGACACTAAGATGGGGTTATAAAACAATGTTGCTGGCTTAACAATTATACAGCACACAATTTCTCTCACTGTTATTCCTTGCACAGTCCGTGTGTCTGGGCCCCATTTGCCTTGTTTTCTGGTGCACCTCAAGGTCAATCTAATTTTGTTAATTTCTTTTATTTACATCCATAACTGTTATTATTTGATGAGTATCTAAGAATTTATTAAGTAATAAAGTCTACAAAGACTGCAAATATTCACAAATAGATATTTATGTAATATGGAAGATTTATATTCTGAAGATCATATGGGCTTCAACATTCAGAAAACCACCGCTATTTATTTTAATTTTACAACTAATAGTAACTATTTTAACTACCATACTGCAGATATTCTAATTCTGTGTAAGAGTTGTGTAGAATATTTCAGTGTTATGTTGAAGACTGAACTGTGTTTCTTGATATGTTCATTATATATCTTCTCAAGCACTAAAGATTTTATAGGTCTTGTTCATTTCACAACGCAATTTTTCTTTCTTGCAGAGCTGTAAGGTACTACATGTTGCTTTAACCAATGATCAAGCATGCCTCATTCACCTGAAATAACTTTACATTGGCAGATTTGAATAAACTTGAAGATATACAAAAGAAAGTTACAATTTTATATTGTAATTGATTTTATCAGTAAGACTTTTTTCACAACTATTACTTTATTCTAGGATGTTTACAGTTTATAATAGTTTATTGCCGATGACAAGTTGATGCTTTATAGGATTTGCATTTAGAGCACAGTCTCCTGAGTTGTAGTGCAAGTCCACCGACATCTCAGATGACTTCCACCAACTACACAGTATTACAAGTCAGAAAATTCATATTCTCCTTAACACTTTATTTCATTTTGATGGTTTCAATGGGAAAACAGATTGTCTGCAATGGAAGCTGTTAGTATTCCTGATAAGACTGAAATAATTTGGGATTTCTCCATTTTCACTGTAAGCAATAGTGTGGGACCCAGTCCCTCAAGGTTTGCCAACATTGCCAATAAGTAATGTCAGTGTTCTGATATTTTTAATAGCAATACCATTTCCCTGGAGGGCACATATCCTTTGTATGAATATAATCCTAGTTAAATTGTTACATTTTTCTATTTTTATTCCAATTCTTTTTATATTATTTTTATTTGTTTGCATTTACAGTGGGGTTTAGTGCTTGCTTCCAGAAGGTTACTACTGTTGCAAAATTATATTAATTAACTAATTAATCAAACTATTATTGTTGCTGTTATGTTGCTGCAGCTATAGCTGGTGGTGGTAGTGTTTGTTGTTAAAGGGAAATGCATCACTCTTTATCCAGTAAGTAGATTGTGAACCATCTTCTTGCAGAATTACCACTATTACATTATAGACCAATATGACAGAATAAAAAGGGAAGACTTGCAGGTGACATCATTGTCTGTTCTTAAGTCTGAAGAGACAACAGCAACTCTGGGTGGATAAACTAACAGCTCATACAGATTCACAGTGTCCAAGCAATTACAACCTTCATGTTTGGGCACTGGGTTACAGGGTAGACTACATGGCTGACATGGGTATAGACACAGAGGACAGGAGCCACCAGATGCGGTTAACTTATGTCCATACACACAGAGTCATCAAGTGTCTTGTATCAAGTACTGTAAAACATAAAATATACAAAATGGAGGAGGCGCATACATATTCCCTTTTTGTTCAAATATTAGAAAGCCTAAAAATATTAACTCTGTGGATTATGTCTATACATTTTCCTTTTTATTAAGGATTAGCAAGCATAAAACCATAAACTCTATGGAGAAGGCCCACACATAATCCATACCTCTCTGACCTTGATACAGATTGCTGTTTATTGCAGATAAATCTGTTGTGACAAAGCTAATCACGTTTTAGCATATGGCAAAGAATCAGACAAAACTTTCCACATAACTGATAACTATTTCTGCATGATATCCAACAATTTTTTCATATAAGAACTGTGGATCTTAGTAATTTCTTGCATAATCCATTTTTAAGAAAATTTTATAAATGTCAGTTTCAACTTCATGTAGCGTCAGTGGTTATAATTCACCAGTACAAACCAAAAATGAATTCCCTTTACTGTGAAACTCAATACCAAATTTCATCAAAGTCTGTCAAGAACCTCTGGAGTAGTGTAAAATTTGATATGCCAGCAGTTCATTTATTACACTGTTAAATTGAAAACTAAGAGAATGTTTTCTTATGCCTGCCATATTGTTGCTTTGGGCTGTAGAGAAAAATTACCATAACAGAAAACCTTATGTTTTGAAGATACTGTCATATATAATTTTAGGACCCTGCATTAAGCTGTGCTAGTGTCAATTTGACCTCCATCATTAGTAATTTCAGGAAATTAAAGAGTACATGTCTGGTGTGGTCTCAGATAAGATAATGTATCAATTCTCTGAAAAAGTTCAGATTATTCAAAAGTTGAAATGAGGTACACACTCGCAAGCTAATGTCTATCTCATAAAACTACAATGAAAAATTAAAAATGATGCAGGAATATTTTTGTTTGTATTTACCTACAGATAGGATTAAACATTTTCTCCTTAAAAAAGGGAAGTGAGTCACTATTCAATAATGATTCTTCTCATATAATGTAAAGGGGAAAATCCCCAACTCCAATTTACACTTAAAATTTTTGTGTCATTTCATAAGAAAAATGAAAGCTGTTGGGTATGCATATAATTCTAAATTTATTCTCTTCAAATTTCATTTGATACCAAAACGTCGAATGGAAATGCAGAATCTGTAAAGCCTCTGACATTTCTGCACCACCATGTTACTGCAATTGCAGTCTACATAAACTGCCATGGAAGTAACTAGCCTAACTACATCAATGTAGACATTTTGAAATGCTGAATTCTATTAATGTGACACCATCTTACCATACTCAAAAGTGGAGTTTAGTAACTAGGATAAGATGCAACAGATTTCATTACTATTTAACAATGATGTAACATCTCATTAGGTATAAGGTAAATCTATCCCTGTAACAGGGCGTGGAGGCCCACAGGGTTGTGAGATGTCGAGGCTCCCACATTTTCTAGACAATCGCCTCACAGACGGCGGTGAGGTTTTCAGCCTTATGTGCCGGCTGCCTTTTGCCCCCCAGGAAGATTCCTGGTACTCATTCCTCTTAGAGGCTGAGTCGACCCCAGGGCCATAGTGTGTCTGGAAGGATTAGGTTAATTGAAAAAATCAAGTGACCTCATCAAGAATCAAACCTGCAACCATCCAGTTTGTAGCACAGTGCCTCTACCAACTACAGTTTTTATCAGAAATTTAATTTAATCCTTCTTCAACAATGACATGTCCTTACTAGTGTTGTCTACAAATGTACAAAACCCCAAACTTGACGACTCTGTGTGCACAGTGGGTGCTGCCACTGCAGCTGACTTGCCTCTTGTGGAGGAATATCATACACGCAGGACCGAAGGTCTACCTTGGTGTAGATTTCAATACACGGCAGAATGAAGAGGACGCCTAGTGACAGAACACATCTCTCTCATTGGCTCTTACAAATGTCGAGGATACAACTAGATGATCAGTTAACATCATATTTCAAATATTGTAAGTTACAACCCTGCCCAGACTGAAACTACTGCTGAATATGAGCACAGAAGCTGTAATAGTGGCTGGGTACTAGCACAAGAACTATAATAGTCACCAGGTACTAGCACAAAAACTGTGATAGTGGCCAGGTACTAACACCAAAACTGTAAGACTGAATGGGTTCTAGCACAAAAACTGTAATAGCTACCAGCACAAGAACTATAATAGTCGCCAGGCACTAGCACAAAAACTGTGATAGTGGCCAGGTACTAGCACCAAAACTGTAAGAGTGACCAGGTTCTAACACAAAACTGTAATAGCGGCCAGGTTATAGCACAAAAACTGTGATAGTGGCCAGGAACTAGCACAAAAACTGTAAGAGACCAGGTTCTAGCACAAAAACTGTAATAACAGCCGGGTACTAGCACAAAAGCTGTAATAGTGGCCGGGTTCTAGCACAGAAACTGTAAGAGTGGCCGAGTTCTACCAGAAAAACTGTAATAATGGCCAGGTACTAACATAAAAACTGTAATAGTGGCCAGGTACTAGCACAAAAACTGTAATAGTGACCGTGTTCTACCACAAAAACTGAAATAGTGGCCAGGTAGTAGCACAAAAACTGTAATAGTGACCATGTTCTACCACAAAAACTGTAATAGTGGCCGGGTACTAGGACAAAACTGTAATAGTGGCCATTTACTAACACAGAAATTGTAAATAATGGCCAAGTACTAGCACACACAGTGCAAAGATCAGGGATATTATAGCAACATTTACAGTAAAAACAAATTTGTAACACTAGTACCTGCCGAATTTCACGTGAAAGACTGTTTCATAATGAATGCTTTTTACATTTTCAATTATATCACCTATCGACAATTCCCCCAGTCATCAGTTTTGGGAATTATTTATCATCCTTTTTCATAATTCAATGCCAGTGCCCTGAAGTTTGACCCTTGGCACTATAAATGTCCTTTCATAACTGTATGGGTGAGTCATAAAATACTGTAAGTCTTAAGTAAAAATAACTTCCTCCCCTTCAAGAAGTATCTACCAAAAGGAACACTCCATGAGAAATCAGTAGCCACTGAGCTGTCCAAAAAATTGCCCACCTATTAAGGAATCCAAAGTTTATTACCATGTTCACAGAAACTTGCCATTTGATCTTATCCTGAGTCAGCATAATCAAGTCAACACTCTTACACCCATATATTAATGACTAATTTTAATGTTATCCTCCAGTCTACATTTGTGACTTCCAAGTTGTCTCCTTAATTTCAAGTTTTTTACTCATGTATATCTCTTACAGTTTCCATGCAGGTATATGTCCCACCCATCTCAGCATCTTTATTTGATCAGCCTAATAATAACTGGCAAAAAATAAAAATTATAAAGCTCATCATTATGCAATTTTATCTCTCTTCCTGTTACTTCTTATCTCTTTGGTCCAGATATTCTACTCAGCATCTTGTACTCACGCATACTCAACCTGTGCTGTTCCATTGGAGTGAGACCAAGTTACATACCCAAACCACAGAAGTAAATTTCCAGTTTTGTACATTTCAATTTTTAGTTTTCTAGATAAAAGAAGGAAAGATAAAATATAATAAAATAAATTTTGTCCTGAATGGCAGAAGGTCAAAAGCATAGAAATATAGAGAGCACATAAGTCTTAGAATTCTTACTCGTATTGAATCCACTTCTCTGGTTATGTAAAATTAAAATAGTTATAATATTGTATTGTAACATTCTGCTGCAAATCACTTATTTATTCATTGTTAGTTATAAGCTGTCTTACATGCAACTTCCTTTTTAAAACCTCTAAACATTCATAACAGCTACACATGACATAATAAGAGGATCTGTCTATCACCACAGGTCACATGGGTGTATAGACAAGGTCATACCACAAAAACTAAACTTACAGACGGTAGCAGAGCAGTTTCATCAGCAATTTTAGAGATATCTGAAAAATGACCAATGTTGCTCAATACATGCAGTGTGCATACACCAGAAATGTAGAAGAGATTTTAAGGTTAAAAGCTTTTAAAGGTGTTAAAAAACAAGTTGCACATAAGACGACTAAAAACTAACAAGGAATAAAACAGCTATAGCCTAGATCTGGATGTAAACGAAATTTCCTTACCTGGTCCCTTCGCACCTCCGGACATGAGTCGTCCCAAGCGAAATATCACAGCTCGTTCATATTCTTGCACCACCTGGAATAAGTGTGACTGCATGTGAGCCATGTGAAGGAAGACGTTTACATTCTCATGCTAAACTCGTTACACTTGATGTCCCTTACTGCTTATTCTTGTAATTAAGAAGCATAACAGCTGCTACTTGGTGTTTATGTTGGGAATTTCATCTGTTATCGGGAACTTGGCTGCTTACAGAAAAGGATTTATTGAATTGTCGACGAGGCGTGTTTACCTCGCCGTTGCCTAGCAACAGACGTCCTACTGTTGCGCGCGTTGACTCCCGCGGGAATGTGTTCACGGAGTCATTGCCTAGCAATGGCTATACGCGTCATATTGTGTATATAAGCCACAGCATTCGTACGCCTGACACTTTCTGTGTTTCGGAAGCTAATGATGACAATTATACATCCAAATGTAACTCGTTTTGGAAAGAATTTCTACTCATGGCCCGTCGTTTAACAAATTATTTATCTTCCCACTTGCCCCTGCATGTGTGGCTATAGTCGATTAGTACCGGCAAATAACCAAATAAACATTGGCGCCAATTGATGGTGGGTTGTTCACTTCGGTCTACAAAGAAATACCTCTTATGTAAACAATAACACTCATTTCCTCACGCGATGTTCCCAAATGTCAGGTCACGACACAGCAGCTAGATGTGTGCAGTTTGTTTTCAAGTAGTTACCTTGGTTACCGGCATACGAACATGGTCGCCTGCACAATTCGTCGCCCAAACATCAGAGTGCGCTGTGTGATATGTCCATCAATTTTCGGGAGACTGGGTTTGAAGTGTGCAGCTTATAACTGACTTAGAACAAAACACATTTGCAAGTACAGTAACCTTATGGAAGTACATGGAGACAGTTCAAAAAATATTTTAAAATCTGAGAAATGCCTATTTCCTTTCCGCCCCAAAAGTGGAGATAGAGCGCTCTAATACTCAGGGACATGTGTCAACTGATTGCGTCAGAAAAGTAACTTCCTAAATATATGTATAACCTAGATATTCACTGCCTCCCGTGTGGAGGCGGGGTCGGACACCTCCACCGTAGCCCTGCCGAGTCATAGGAGGCGACGAGAAGGAAACCCAGTGCCTGGGGGTATAACCGGGCCACCCTGTTCCTGAGGGTCCTCCAGGTTGAGGGAGTCTCGAATCTGAGACAGCAAAATGTGGTCATGAGTCCCACGTGACTCCGACCTGAGAATGACTGCGTTGAGGATGGCCCTCAACAATTGTAAACGGCAGACCCGTCCTCTCATCAGAGAGGGCGCCCCATATCAACAAACCCGTAAATGTCTGACAGTAAAAGAATCTTGTTTTCGGCCCAAAATGAGTGCGTGACACTAAAGACACTGGCCGACTGACCGTCAGTAGCAACATAACCTTAAAAGTCTTAAGATTAAGGTGTCATGAACATCAAAACCTGCCGTAATGAGAACTGAGTTGTTTTGTGTTTCTTGGACTACAAAATAATTCTTATGTGTCGCCCATTTAAAGACGCTGTGTGTAACTCGTGAGTACACAGCGCCGAAACATTGGATAACATGAACAGTGTATTAGGATGTGGACGGCAGTGTCTGATTTAGGATTTGCTTGGAGGGACGGAACAACGAAACAATTTTCAATCAGGATATTCGGTGCCCAGGCCGAGATTCGTACCGGGTACTCCCAAATATAAATCAGAAACGTTACCGCATGAATCAACTTCCTCTGTGAAAAATAATGACGCGCTCTTCGAATTAATATTGAACATTCCACAGGAAATGATGAGCACAGACGGACGGACAGTGTAACACAGTCGTAACTCGACCTGCGACTATGAATTTCCCGATTTACAATCAACCTCACCGCCATCTGTGAACCGATTGTCTAAAGAAAACGTGGGAGCCTCGACATATCACAACCCTATGGGCCTACACGGCCTGTTACAGGCATAGCTTTATATTTTTACCTTACCAGTCAGTGAGCCCGCGGGTAACAATCTCAAGCTGTTTGAGATTTTGGCGTTATAACGTTCAGAGACAGAGACGCTAACTTCTAGCGTTACGTGTAAGCTAACTAACGGATATCTAGAGCAGGAGGACCATGGGCTCCAGTGAGAGGGTAAACATGCCAGATATCTTCCACGCCTCGATTTTTGAGAAAAAAGAAAAAACTTAAAGAGAGGGAAATGCACCAAATATTAATATCAATAAATTGCATTTTTATTGGAGGAGATATGGCAGGCATTCCCCATTCAAGCATTTTTAAATGAACATTAAAACTAAAAAAAAGGAATGTACCAAATATATTAAAAATATTGTGGCTTACAAACCCGTTTCTAGGCAGCGACCGCGAAACAAAACGTAACGATGTCCGTTGCTAGGCAGCATATTCTTAATAAGCAAGAATAGACGGCCGATGCTATGGAACGGCTCGGTAAACACGAAGTTTTCTACTCGGACTGTGCAAAGAGGTTATAAGGAGGACAACTGAAGGAAGATTATTGCATACATTATGACAGATAACTTACTACTGCAGACAGCGACTCTGACAAAAGACGGACCCGTCCTCTCATCAGAGTGGGCGCCCCACAATAACAAGGCTGTAACTGTCAAAGATTAATAAATATCCGGTCAGCAAGTCTGACGTTACTGACCGACCGTCAGTCGCAATGTGACTTTGACTTGACTTGACTTGAAGATTATTTCAGTTGGAAGGGACCCGCCATTCAGAGAGGACTTGAGCCCGGAAACAGGGACCATCCACTGTTAGGAGCCGTTCCAAGCAACTACTGGTGAAGACACTGCGGGCTAGAAAGTGATTTTGTAAAGTGTGTCAGTTGCGATAGTGTTATTTTTTTTCCCTGGCACTACAGCCCCAGTGGGCCTAGGCCTACCTCCATGAACTCCGTTCACTTCGGTTTTTCTAGGTCTTAAACATACGGTAGGACTCCTTGGGCGAGTGATCAGCTCGTCGCAAGGCCTCTACCTGTACACAAACACAGAAAAATGCACACAAACATCCATGCCCTGAGTGGGATTCGAACCCACGATCCCAGCTTCCGAGCGAGCGAAGACAGTGCATGCCTTAGACCGCTCGGCTACCGTGACCGCCGCGATAGTGTTATAGTTATTTGTAATTACGGCCTGTAAGTGGTCAATAAATCCATTATGTATTCCCAAACCCCGTCTAAAGTCACTGCATACTACATGACAATATTTTTAAAAAGATTCTTCCGTTCTGAATATATTAAGGCGAACAGAAACACAGTCTTACACGACTTCAGGGTGTTTGTCACCCCTGCTTGGGGCGGGGGAGTGTTGGTGCCCACGGAAAGGACGACACAAATACCTGTCACACGTTGTCATACCTTGAAACAGACGCACAGCGAGAAGGGCAGGGTGCAGATGATGAGGGCCCAGGAGAGGGCTGTGAGAATCGTGCCACACACGCCTGCATCGCCTTCGGACTCGTCAGCTGCAACACGCAACACACATCTCTCTGAGACAGGCCTCACTCTGACTACACACACGGAGACTAAAGTACGAGGGAGAGTCAGTACGTAGGCCACAGATTGGAGTAAAACAGCTGTAATGGACGTAATAAGTTCTGTATGTGTATCGCTAGGTAGCAGCACAGTCCAGCTTCATGACAGTCTAGGTGACTGATGTACATTTGCATGTTCAGAGGCTGGTTTTAGTAGTCAAAATGGCAACCGTGCTTTAGGAGCAAATTACCGAAGAGCAGCGTTCTGTTCTGCGTTTTGTGGGCAAAGGATGTTCTTAAAGTAATGTTTCCTGTTTAAGGTGCGAAGTGTTTGTCGCTAACTAAAGGCTCTGTAAAAGTATATCCCTACTTCAGCTGCTACGCAACGGCTATGTAACACGTTCCGCAACAAATACATGCGAGAATATAATAACTGCCATATGCGCGTGTCTGTCAGTCTGTGTATCTCTCTATCGTTGCTAGGTAACAATTCCTTAAAGATGTTCTCGCTACAACCAAGAACTGTTGAAGTCGTATTCTATACGGCCCGTGTCGTAATTACTTCTTCGCAGAGCTTCATATTCTATTCAACTGGTTACACCTGAAGGAATGACTGTTCACTTAAACATCAGCACGGGAACTTCAATTTTCACATCGGATTTGAGGTTCTAATAGCGGCGACTATGAAGAGATCTGTCTTCGGGCTGTAATGTGGTGTAGTCTGTTGAAAGTCACGGATCCCACGTGGAAGTGGATTCGAATACCTCTACTGTAGCCCTGCGAGTCGTATAAGGGAACCCTGTGCCTGGGGGCATAACCGGGCCACCCTGTTCCTACGGGATATAAATATGGGGACCTGGCCTTCCCGGTTGGGGAAACATCGAATTTGAGACAGCAAAACATGGTCGTAAGTCCCGTGGGACTCGGACCCGAGAATGACTGCGCTGGGGAGGCCCAGCAGCAATTGTAAACGACAGACCCATCCTCTCGTTTGAGAGGAGGGCTATAACCGCAAGTGTTCAGTTGGAAAATAAAAATTTTGGTCGTGGGTCTCAAGGAGCTTGTCACCAAGAGGAACTGATTGGCGGTAAACTTCCAGTCATGAAGTAACTCTGACTCTGAAAGTCAAGGGGCGTTTTTAGTTGTGCTTGAAGAATATTAAATTTTCCATTCTATAATGTCTCATAAATTGAAAAATTGATACACCACTTCCATTGCTTTTTTTTTTTTTTTGGTCTTCGACATAAAAGCAAAGATAAACATATGAAGCCTACTTCTATCTCTGTGGACTGTGTTTACGAATGTCGCAGGAAATGAACGGAAACGTCCATGAGGCCAAAGCGTCACTTCGCTTCGCGTCAGTTTGTCATGCGCGCGCAAGCGCAGGAACATGTCGCTCAGCGTCTCGACGCACACGTCAGTTTATCCACCGCTGTTGTGTAACCCAAGATAAGGACCCACTGAACAAACAGGAACTTTGTCTCGACCAAGAGGATAGACGCTATTGATTGCATGGCAATGAACCGTTATCCGAATGTTTGATCAACAACTTACAGTCACTCCAGACTCGCCAACAACTCACGCCGGAAATGTCACTTCGCCTCTGTCAGGCCGAGTTCTGGCCGCACATCTACATGGCGCCCACAGAACAGGTGAAAAGGATAAAGCTGTCCCTGTGTTCAACTAATCAAGCACTACGCCATGAAGACGTATGGGGGAGTGGAGGTATAGCATCATCATTCTCTTCCTCGGCAGTAGATCTAAATAAATGGTCAGCTTCACGACCCGGCTGCTATGGAGAAGACAAAAATCTTGCCACTACCGGAAATTGAACCCGAATCGTCCAGCCCGTAGCTCGTTGCTATACCGACTGAGCTATCCAGACTCCTTACTTACTTACTTACTTACTTACTTACTTACTTACTTACTTACTTACTCACTCACTCACTCACTCACTCACTCACTCACTCACTCACTCACGGAGCTGAGCCCTTCTTAAGGAGAAGCCAATTCTGCAGCTACTCAAGAATTTCCCAGCATTTTATAGAACCCGAAGGTTCATTACCGTGTTCACAAGAGCCCTCCACTGGTCCCTATCTTGAACCAGATCAATCCAATCTATACCATCCCATCCTATCTCTCTATGATCCCTTTTAATATTGTTCACCCACCTATATCTTGGTCTTCCCAGTGGTCTATTTCCTTCTGGCTTTCCCACCAATATCCTATATGCATTCCTCTTCCCCCATTCGTGCTACATGCCCTACCCACCTCATCCATGACTTGATCATTCTAATTATACTTGGAGAAGAGTACAAGTTATGAAGCTCCTCGTTATGCAAAGCTATCCCGGCTCCTGGGCATATAAATATATCTGTAACATTTATCAATATAACAGCTGTTGAGAATTCAAATGGAAGGCCCATCATTCGGTATACAAGTTCTCGTGTTCTTAATTCCCTTGCTTTCTTCTGTATGCCTTAACAGTCGTACAGGTTACCGAATGATACGTCGACGCCGGCGTTTAGCGCAACCTTCCACGAATATACCGCATAGATTGTTAGTCGTACGCTGTCTCCTCTATACGCATAGTAGGAACATTATATCGTAGCGTCACGGTGTGCTCTTTTGTCGTGCATTTCTTCGGTTTCCGCCAGCACAGTCTGTATAGACGCAGTGTGACAATTAAGTTTCCGAACTGACGCTTCTTTTTTGTTGTGGGGAGAAATTATTGTAAATGCAAAAAAAAAAGGCCTAGGCAATGCCCATCCGGCCTTCTGTAGCACATTCTTAAGGTTCGGCCATACAGAGCGCTACGCTATGTTCGCTACATACGCTACGTACGCTGTGTACACTCTGCGACGCAGCTAACATAGGGAACATAGCGTACGGAAGTCTGTGTGGCCAGTCATATTGGCAATAAAGGGAGATATTCTTCTGTTCGTATAGCGAACATAGCGTACGTAGCGTGCGTCGCGTACGTAGCGCTCTGTGTGGCCGAACCTTTATAAACATCTTATTCTATCATAACGGTCACCCATCTATTACAGTAATATTATTAATGCCATCTATCGGGGATGAACGGGACTAGTTAGAGAGAACGTTTATTTATATGATGTGAACGTTTCAACACGTTTGGTTGATACATATGAGGATTACAATTGTTTTGGTGAAGTTAGTTTTTTGTCTTGTCAAAGCTTCAGAATGGAACAAAGAGCAGTGATTAAGTTCTGTCCAAAATTAAAGAAAACAGTTACTGTGTAGAAATAATATACGTCACATGTTTATAGCAGGTTTCAGCCTTTAGGCCATTATCTGGTATTGCAAATGTACCATTAACTTACCTGCTCTTTCTTTGCGTATACTATGCTGCACTCCACATATCACCGTCAGAAAATTGCAACACTCACAGGATAGACACGGTACCCTGACATATATACATACATTACACGCAGAAGGATATACAATTCTTTATATGTTAGATGTATATAGTACCTGCCTGGGCTTCCACCTGTACATCGGGTAATTTCACGACTGGTTACCAATCCTACCTACCAGACTTCACGGTGTTATGACACGTAAAGTCACAATCTTCTTTTATTTTGGATTCTCACAGCTGTGGATGTGAAGAGCAATATCTACACGAATATAACTCCGTGTAGTCGGGTGAAAATAAAAAACGACGTTTCGGAGGAATATACTGCTTCCATCATCAGCGTCGAGAAATAAGCGCTCTTACCGTAACTTGCAATCATGAAATCTATAGCGACTATTTCTCCCTCGGAAGTAAAGACACTAAGGCAAAAAGAATTTCAGCACAAAGCGACAGTTCACCTGCCGGCAGCGCGTCCACGTACAGGAAACCAGCAGAACACAATATTGCGTCATTTCCGAGCGATTGATATTGTGAGCTGAAGTAGTAGCAAATTGCTAACAGCCGTGCACGCATCGCTGTGTAGCTACTTTTTACCGCCTCAAATAGAATAAAAGCAATTATTTTTCAGGGTGCAACCGTTTATTTTTTTGTAAACAGTAAATCTTCGCTAATCCGGTGACAGTTAGAACGGAAGTCGTATAATCATCATCACCATCACTGGCACGACAGCCCTTTGTGAGCCCTGGTCTTCCTCAGGACTGCTCGCCATTCTTCTCCATTCGATGCTACATTCGTCCAGTTCTTTATACCCAAAATTCTTATGTCCTGCCACACACATTCTTCCCATCTCAATCTTGGTCTTCCCACTCTCCTATTTCCTTCTGGTTTAGTATTAAGCATTCTCTTGATGGATCTATTCTCGCTGGAAGTCGTATAATCCGACAGAAATATGAAAAATGAAAAATTCTGTTCACAATTAAGGTAAAGTTGCCCCTGTGCGTAACTAATTAAGCACTACACAATGAAGACGTATGGGGTTTCTTGACCTCGGCACTAGCTGGAGGTGAGTTGGCAGCTTCGCGCCCCGACCGCTTTACCCCAGGGGAAAGAGCCCTCGGTATCCATTGGTACGAAGCCGCACTGTGGCCCTGGGGTCGAGTCAGCCTCTAACAGAAATGAGTACCGGAATCCTCCTGGATGGCGATCTGTGAACCTATTGTCTAGAAAATGTTGGGGCCTCGACGTCTCACAACCCTATGGGCCTCCACGATCTGTTACAGGGATAACTGTACTTTCACCTTACAAGTCCAGAACTCCTCAGAGCTAGCACTGGGCTAGCGGATTTGCCGGCGCAATCAGAACATTAGAACACGGCACTTCGGTTTCACTGTGCGTGTGGTTTTGTGACCTCAGCGTCGAGTCCTTCGGTTGGTCGATAGATAAGCTCGTCGACTCTATCATTACCCCGATACAGCGTCCTTTTATTGATCACCGACGTCGGAATAGTAACACTGTGACATTTATGGTGAGAAGTGTGAGGCAGTCTTTGCATCTCTGTCGTTCAGAAGGGGGATGAGACAAACAGCAGCTGGACCACACATCCTGTTCCGAAAAA